TACTGATAGTCTGACAGGAAAAAAGAAAAAAAAGAAAAGAAAAAAAATTGCCAGCCTCACTGAAATGAAACAGTTCTTGGAGGACGTGCTCTTGAGATGGAAAGGATGCCTATGGTGGAAACAGTGGGCCTGAGTGGGTAGAGCTCCTGAACACCTTCCACCCACCATGCTAAGGCTGGATGAATTGCTAGTGTTTTTACTAAAATCTCTCTAAATACAAACACGCACATTAGGCCTCTGCATGGGGTTCCTTTCATGGCTGAGTATATCCTAGAGGTGAGGCCAAGGACTCAGTCAGGGAGGACTCCAGATGACTGGAGGTTTTATGTTGATTTCACTAGTTACTGATTCCGCACTAATGAACAAAGAGCGTTGACTCTTGTTGACACTGGAGTGACCACAGGGTCTGTGGGACCCTGAATTGGAGGTGTGCATGGAAGGCTATGGGGGCCTCAGGATCAAAGCCAAACTAGTGGCTGTGAGCATTTGGGGCCATTTGCCATATACATCAAACAAGGAGGTGGTTGATGTCTGAGGAATGATTTCAAGGCTGACCTTTGGCCTCTGAATTCACACTACAGATGTGCATTTTATACCTGATCGTATAGGTATATGTACCTACACAAACACAAACACATCCTTCCATGGGGAGGGAGGGAGAGAGGGAGGGAGGGAGGGAGAGAGGGAGGGAGGGAGGGAAGGGGAGAGAGAAACAGAGAGAGAGACAGAGAGAGAGAGAGACAGAGAGAGAGAGAGAGAGTCAGAGAGACAGACAGACAGACACACACACAGACACACACACAGACACACACAGACACACACACACAGACACACACACACACACAGAGAGAGAGAGAGAGAGAGAGAGAGAGAGAGAGAGAGAGAGAGAGAGAGAGAGACAACAGCTTACTTAATTTCCTGCCCAGAACAGTGTGGTCTTAAGCCATTACAATTTCCTTCAGGTTTTAAAGACATTCTTACCAATTACAACAGCAAACACTTGATAACTATCCTTGTTAAAAATTTAAAAGATCAAATTAAGCACTTATTGCCCAATTTAGTTCAGCAGAAAATAGACCAGAGGGACAGAGAGGATTAGTTAATTCTGATACATATACATCATATACATCACACACACACACACACACGCATGACAAAAACTCAACCTGATCCTGTATTGTATGTGCCCCTATTTGTGGCAAGGCACCAATCAGTGTTTTCCACACAACCACGAGAAGCCTCAGAATCCACGTTTAACCTCAATAGTTTTGTAACCGGACTGTCTCCCGAGAAGGCTGTAGAGTTGAATGCTGTCCTCATTTCTTTACCTGTGGCTGTGTTAAAACACTTTGACAAAAGCAATTTACTTCCCAGTTTTATTTATCTTACAGTTCCAGGGAAGTCACAGTGTCAGGAACTTGAGAGACCTGTCCACATTACATCCAGGGCAGAGAGCACTGAATAATGCATGCTAGTGTTCCCACTCATACAGCTTAGGATCCCCTGCCTAGGGAATGGTGCCACCCATGATTAAGATGAGTCTTCCCACATTAATTAACATAATCAAGACAGCCCCTCAGAAGCATTCTCAGAGCCTAAGAATGGTCTAGACAATCCTTCACAAGTGGACCCTGCCTCCTATGTGCTAGGTTGAGTATTACTGTCAACCATCACAACAGGTCAGGATTGTGGGCATAGTAAGCCATCCATTACATCCAGAGTGACCCAGGACAGCATGGACCCGCAGAGAATGCCTCACAAAGGGTTCACCCTTGCTAGCTACAAAGCCATAAGCAGCTTGGGAAGATAATGGCAGTATAGAGTTCTTCCATTGTGAGGGCAGCGTTGGGCTAATTTGAAGGCAGAGTATCACCAAACATGGACACAAGGTGATTTTATTGAGGAACCTCATGGACATTCAGGTTGTAAAGACCAGGGATTACAAGTAGAGGTAGGGCTCTTCCTAAACATATTCAATTGGTGACTACACTGTTTTATACACTGTGTGTTCACAGATGGTGGATGAGAGAATTTAATGTCATAATAAACAAGTTTACTTTAGGGCACCCAGAAGGATGATTCCATGATTTGGACTTGTTTAAATGCCCCCTGTGGTTTTCTGAGGCAGGACATCTCTGAAACCAAAAACCAAGTTGAAGGGATACTAGGAGTCTCTGACTAGGAGTCAGAAAGCCTGAGAGTTGGTTTCTGAGTTTCTACCTACAAGCTACCAGGTGCAGGACATGTCACCTTGGTGGCACCCCCAGTGTTGGCTGCAGAATTGGGCTCATAAGTATGTGTCAGGTGCCAGGAGATCACAGGTTGGCAGGGCCAACATGTCCCATAAGATGCCAGGGAAGAGAGAAGGCACTGCCTGGGTCAGACATACTTAGCAAAAACGGGCCCTTTTAGTTCTTCCTCCAAAGTCTGCCTCAGTTTCCCAGAGCCTTGGCCTTCCAGAGCAGGAAGTATGCTGGAGGAGGGATTGGGCTTAATGGGAAACCACTCAGGCTTGTGATTGATTGGGGCTCAGATTTCAGAGCATGGAGGGCAAGCAAGTCCAGGAGCCCATTGGCTCTCTGAGAGACATTCTTATATGGTGATGGGGTCAGATACAATGGCCCAAGAATCAACTGGTGGAAGGTTCTTGTGATTCCTAAGGCTGGAAGGAAGCAGCAATATCTTAAAATTCTGAAGGGAAATCATGTTGATTTGGGCCACACTGCACAGCCACAGCCCAAGAAGCTTCAACCAAAAGACATATTTTCTACGTCTGTGCGTGATGAGGGTCTGAGACTGCAGTGTCAGCAAGTTTAACTTCTCCCTGGGCATTTCTTCTTGCTCAGAGACGGTCACTCTCATGCCCCATATGCTCATTCTTTACAAGGTCACTTTGTATTACCTGTACCCTAATTTCTTCCTTGTAACTTTTTTGTGTGTATGTGTGTGCATTCATGTGTCATATATGCATGTGTGCACATGTATGGGTGGAAGAGGCGTGTGTGTGTGTGTGTGTATGTGTGTGTGTGTGTGTGTCAGAGGAGCACACTGGGTATCTTCCTATTACTCTCTGCTTTATCCCCTCTGAGGGGAGGTCTTTCAACTAACCTGCCATTCACTATTTAAAAGTGTATAATAATAATAATAAATAATGATAATAATAATAATAATTGTTATTATTATTATTACTGGCTAGGCTAGTTGATTAGCAAGCCCTGCAAGTCTTCCTGTTTTCCCCTACCCCTCACATCAAATGCCAGACATATCTGGCTTTTGCATGGGTGCTGGGTATCCATCCCTAGGTCTTTTTGTGTGCAAAGCAAGCTCTTTCACCTACAACTCCCAACTCCTACTCTTTTAATAAGGTCTCAAGGCATGTTGCATTAAAACTCCCAGTAACAGTGTCATCTTACCATAATGACTTCTTCGAAATACAGTCAGACTCTGAGATAGTGGAGTTAGGACTTCAGCATAGGAATTTGCCGTAGACATAACTGAGCCTATAACATCAGCTAACAATCAAGGGTGGGAATGTAAGATATTTCCAGATGTGCACACTGCCCAGGCTGCAGGAAACAGGGGTACAATGAGATAGAGAGCTAAAGAGGCACCCCAGGAGAGTAGTGAGGGGGAACCCTTCAGTGGCTAAGCAGCTGGAGTCATCAGGAGCATCCAGGGAGATTCTGCAGAAAATGCAATTAACAGATTAGGCTGATGTACTGGAATGAAGTGAAAGAAATTCAGACACCTACAGCGAAGGAGTGCTGGGGTGGATGCGAGTCTGGGGATAATTCTGGAACAAGGACATACAAAGAGTGTCAGGTCCAAAGAAAACCACTGGCAACTTTCCCCAAATTCTGGCAGTTAGACAAAAGCCAGCATTCTTCAAGAACTACCAAAGGAGCCAGTTCCCTTATCGCTGGCAGAAGGACAAATGGCTATCTGTGGTGCCTATTAGCACACCAAAGCTCATGCTGGCCCCCAGGATCCCAAGTGTCTGTCACACATTTCAGAGTCCAAGCTGGCATCCTGACTTTTCTCACCACCACTTACCCTAAACTTCTCCAGGTCCCGGGCTCTCCTCCCTAGGCTAACCATTTCTCCATATAGCCTGGCTTTTCCTGCCGCTCATCTCTACAATAAAAATCGTCTACTTGCTTAACTATACCTTGGAGTGATCATGTCCTCAGTTTATATGAAAATAAACAAACGTAATGCAGAATAATTAGGCAGTTTGGGTAAGATGAACCACAACAAAAGACAGAAAATTAAGCAGATGAAAATCACAAAGCAAACAATAACTACGGGAAATAGTAGAAAGTTACATAGGAAAGGGTTTGGGCGTGAAAGTCTTAATTAGCATAGCCACAATGTATACATTGAAAGATAACTTTATCAAACACAAGACCCTCTCTCAACTCGGAAATCAAAAGCAAAACTGGACTCACTGCTCACTCAAGCAAGCAGGACACTGCGGTTCAGGCTGTCTCCAGGAGGGAGCCACGCAGCAGGAGTTCTGACCCACCAACCACTGAGGCTGGGGACTGAGAGAGCCTGTTCTCTGATTGGCTGAATTTCACACAGGGATGACACTGATTGGTTGGCTGCGAAAAACGTCTTCCCTAGAGGCCTTTGAAAGGCTTTAGCATTGGTTCTGCTGCTGTGTTACCATGGCTACAACACAATTGGGCTTTCCCCAGGAGTGTGGGAACTTCTGCGTTCTCAGTCCATCCAGAATTAGGATGTAACTGTGCTGTTGACAATGAGTGTTGGAAATTGCATAACTTGTGTGTGGTCCTGCTGACTGCTGGGGAGCAGAAGCCTCGAGAGGAGAGAATACCCCCTTTCCAGTGTGAGGAGAAAGAAGATCACACCCAGGAAGCAAAGTTAATCCAATACACAGTTCCTTAGACTGATAGCTATAACTTCAAATGAACTGTTTCCTCTGAGGAGTCACTTACTCTGGGCCAAATCAAGGACATAGCCGTTTGTCCAACTTT